CGTTCTCACCCTTTGTGTTCAGACTGGTGTCCATCTTTGAAATGAGCTATTGGATCCATGGACGAGTCACTCTTCAGAGACACACTGCTGGTTGGAGACGAGGCTCGTTTCTGGTGACTGATGCTGATTAAAACATTTAAAAACACACTTCAACTTCATAAAGATTGTTAGACAATAACATTTAAATTTATTTGTTTTTTTATAAATATGAAGTTTGGTCAGGACTGAGGAATGATTGCAGATAAACTCTGTGATGTTACTTTATGCAAAACGAGGAAGGAAAACAAAGCAACTGTTAAGAGAAAAATCTGACAGAACTGGTTTTGTTTGAGGAAACTCCAGTTTTCTTATCTTATATAACTTGTACAGAGCACTGAGACAAATTATGTCTTAACTTGGTCCCATTTAAATGAACTAAAGTGAATTAAATCTCCAGAATGTTTTTGTTGGTGGCTTTCAGCTCATGTGACAAAAAGTATTTAATGAAAGCAGGTTGGTTTATAAATGAAGTTAAAAGTGAAACACAAAATTCATTCTCAACTGTTGCTTTTTAGTAAAAAAAAAAGTTCTTTATAAACCTCAACAGAACAGAAAAGATTGTTTTATTTTTTGCAGGAAAGAAATATGAACCTTTTCTGTTGTAATAGAAGCTGATACCCGCCTACATTTAATGTCTAAATTCAACAAAAAGAGTAAATGTTGTTATTAAGAAGTTAGTAACAGTTACTAAAAAGCATCTCCTGAACGAGCTGAACATTTTAACACCTGAATGATTAAATAAGCTGAAAGTTGGCAAGAGTTAGATGCCAAAAAAGACCTAAAATGATCAACAGGTAAACGACAGTGTGAATGCTGAGTCAGCATTAATGTTTTAAACATATTTAATAAAAATTAATGATGTTTCTTAATAAATGTGACACCACTTTCAGAGCACAAACTCCGCAGAGTAGTCAGTGTGTCAACAGAGCGACACTCTGATTTTTCATAATTGTTGATCCAAACTTGTATCAGGTTCTGACTGATAGATGAAAAGTTTACCGTGTTTTCTCAGCAGTCTGATATCCATCTTTAACATTTGGACGTTCAAATATCAGCCGAAGATCACTGACTGACACTCGTCTGGGCTGATCAGAGCTGTGGGTTTGATGATGATGAAGATGAAGATGAGAGAACTGGACTCTGACATGAAGAACACAAACTGTGTCAGAGACTTACCTCTGAGTCTGGCTCTGGTTCTCATGGTCCTGATCAGTTTTAGGAGGGATCTGCTTGTACCGCCAGTGATCCATGACAGATCCAGCCTTCATCCAGACACGACAAAATGATCAGACAGAAACGTTTAAAGCTGAGGAGACGTCCTCACAAACATTCAGAACCGAGACCAGAACCTGCAGAGTCCTGAAGAAAGAGTCCACCTGCTGCTCTCACGATTTAAATCTGTCAACTTCAACACAAAACAGAATCTGTTCATCAGGAAATGAAGCTGTAGAGGAAACAGCAGGCTTCTTTGTTTCAGCGAGAAAAACAGGTTTAAACAAAACCTTTGGTTACATTATTAAAAATCAGCTCATAAAAACACATTTCTGCACAAACACAAAACTGGAAACATTTGAAGATAATCATATAAGCAGTTTAATAAATGAAACAATATGATCACTGGTCAGACACTGACATCATTTTTCAGTCTGTAATAAAATAATTTTACCTGCAGTTCTCAACATTATTTCTTTCTTCAGGTCTGAAGAGACAGTAATTTCTCTCTGTCAGTCCTGCTGTTTGTGAGAATCTGATCACATCCTTGTGACTTAAAATATCTGACAGAACCAGTAGAACCTGTCAGAGATCTGAGTGGAGCTCCAGGAAACATCCACTAGATGAAGCTGTGATATAATTCACTGTATATATA